AAGCTAAATAAAGTTAAATGATTGAGATGGGTAAAAAAAAATTAAGATTGGGAACTACAATAATATTCAATATGGGCGCAAGTCTTGTTCACTGATGAATCAAAGTTAAAAATTTTCTGAGGAAATCATTGTTCGCCATTTATTTGGTAAATGTGTGATAAAACAGTGTGATTCCAAAAGAATCATGGTTGAGGGTCAGCCATGGTCTGGTGATGCTTTGCTGGAAAAAAAATTGGTGATTTTTTGCGAAATAAGGGTACCATGGATAAAAATAATTTAAAAAAAAGGCAGAAATATCTTTTAAAATGTCATTTCATTCTTTCATTTTCTTGAAAAATTCATTAATTAATTGAAAACAATGAGTATGAAGGTTATTAGAAAAATCTATTTATTTGTTTTTTAAAAGTGAAAATATACTGCATGATGTTCAAAATAAACTGTTCCCAATCTCCTATTCCCAATCTCCTATTCCCAATCTCCTATATTGCTAAAAATATTATTATTTTATTATAAACAGTATAAATAAATGCTATGATGAGAAAAATCTTTATACTTTTTGTTTATTATTAAATTTATCAAGTGAACCCAAACTTTTTACCGGTAGTGTGTGTATATATATATATATATATATATATATATATATATATATATATATATATATATATATATATATATATATATATATATATATAAAGCAACTTTTTTTCAAAAAATGCTTTTAAACTTACCAAACATCAAGGAATCCTTGATAAAGTCTGAAATCCTGAAGAAAACCATCAAATGGTGATAATCGTCCACATCCTATTGAAATTTGATCTGTGAGTTTCAGTGTAACTTCAGGTAAAGAGCTAAATATTCAATACATTAATATATTAAAATAATATATTAAAATAAATAAACCAGTAATTTAAACAATAAAGTGGAAATTAACTAATAAATAAATTAAGTCAAAATTTAACTGAAAATTTAAAAGTAAATTTTAACTTTAATTAAGAAAATTTAAATACTTTTAGAATAAAATTATCAGGAAATATCTAAGTAATTAATCCATGTTCTATGGGAGTCATTCATAAAACAAAATTTAAAAACTTACTTGCCAGTAATTTTTCAAAATTTACAAGTAAATTTATAAATATATTTTACTTTTTATTTTACCAACACTAGTTTGAATACAAATAACATTGAAAACATTTAAAATATTCTTATACAATCTTGTTTTATGCAATCTTGTATTATCAATAAATGTGCATTTTTATTTTATATATTTCTGCAAAAATGTAAAACAAAAATTACCTATTAATAACTTAGCATCAAATAAATAAATATAAACAGCCAACAAATAAAATAATACTCTATAAATTCTTTGTAAATATTATTTTACACATTTTATAAAAAATTATAAATTTTTGAGTTTTCATTTTAATAAAATTTTATTATTTTTTTGTTATTTTTAAATAGAATAGATTTAAAATTTTATAATATTTTAATATAATTTTTTTTTTTTTTTTCAATGTATTTTATATAAAAATCATTTATATATAAATGTATTTATTGTAATTTTGCTAAAAGTTAAATAGCATAACAACATTTGAATTTTTTTTAATGTTGATATTGCTAAACGAATGAAAAATAGAACTATGAAAATTTTTAAAAATTGAATAAATTATTGAGGTTACAGTTTGTAGTTCAAACTATAAATTGCAGATTGTAGTTGAAACAACAACTTTGTTCGTCAAGGTTTGAGACCTAAAAGATCTGTATCAGACCAATAAGGTTGAGAAAAGGTTGCAACAACCCTTTCTTATTTAGCACATGACATCATCGACTTTTTTGTTTGTTTACACAATCAATCTCTTACACAAACAAAAAAATCAATGACATCATATACTGAAACTCATAGGAATAAAACGCAATTGAATAAATTATTAAGTCTGTAGATTGCACCTTCTCCGTTTTATTTTAAACCAGCATAATATTGTATATTATGCTGACTTAAAATAAAATGGAGAAGGCAAGCTTCGACTAAAATAAAAAAGTTTGTTTTTCTTGGTATTCATTTATTCTTATGTTTTAATCAAAAAAAATTTACCACAAACATTTTTTTTTATTATTCTTTTTAATATGAACACAACATATCTCAGAGGTTTGGGATCCCTTTAAATAAATATAATTTGATTTATTAAACAAAACTTTTTTTTTCACTTTTTATTGCAAAACAATTTGAATGAAAAAATTGAATGAAAACATCAACTTAAAAACCCTTCAAATAAAAATGATAATGATACTCAATTTAATGATACTCAATTTTTTAATAGGACGCTAGATCAAGAAAAACTAAATTATAAAAAATTTTTATAAAATAAATAGGGCAAAAAAACCTTTTTTTCTGCGATTAAATTTTTTTGCGTTAGTTCAAGCCTGCATCCAGCTAAAACTTCCCTGCCTTAGGGCTTTTAGTTGAGTAAAGACGATGTCTTGATGAGTTAGTTGAGTAAAGATT